GGAACTTACCTGAAAGTGACCATCGAACCTAATATGACCAATTGTAGTTTAAGTCAGATAAATAAGATCATTACATTTTCAATATAATTGAATTATACAAAAATAGTTGTCTCACTTAAGAAATTTTAAACTCCTGTAACAGTGATTAAGAAATATTTTTGCATTTAAAATATAAAAAGTTTTATTAATTTGGAAGTGAAATACTCCATACTTTTGATTAAAATCTTACAACAAACTTTAATTACATCTATTGCAGAGAATTTCAACTTAATTTTATTACTGAAATTAACTTCTGTAATGATTAACTTCCATATGGAAATTTTCACCGAAATTTTTAACTTAATATCATATTCCTGCCAGACTTCAAAAAATCAAGTTGTACCATTCTATACTCACAAAAATCCCCAAATTGGTCAAATTCAGGTTTGATTATAAAATAATGAGTCCTATTTAAGCTTTAACTTCTGTAACATTGCTTATGACTATGGGTATATTGAAATTGTTGTATAAAAGTTAAAAAAAAAACAGATTTGTAGACATTTTTTTTTCTCTCAAGTTTTTTGAGAAATATGTTACTCAATTCATGGCTATTTGAATATATATATATATATATATATATATATATATATATATATATATATATATATATATATATATATATATATATATATATATATATATTGAACTACAGCAGACAACAGGATTGAAGTCATTCATGAAAACTGCATGTACCGGTATCATGCGAAATTAAGGGATATTGCCATTAGACACAAAAGTTACATTAAATTATAATATATGTTATAACATCAATCCAATATTTTAGATAAATGTATTCCAAAAATTCTCAATAATTTCTGGGAATTTAACACTTTATATATATATCTGATCATAAATATGGCAGATCGTAACAAACTCATTATCCAAAAAAGGGGAGTACTCCCTCCCTTCCAAACTTCTTATTTCATATGACTTAAACCAAGATTGGAATGCTCAGAACACCCCCCCCCCAATAAAAAAAAATCAATCGGAAAAAAAATATATATTTTATACTAATTTAGTACTAAAAACAATGTAGGAACTATCCCAAGTTAGGTACAAAAGTTGTAATTTTGATGCAATTGCTTTCCCAGTATATATATAAATTTGTACTTTTAGAAGAATCAATTACCAATTTCATGCACCATACAGTTAATTTTGAGCTACATAAACATTTTGTCTATGTCAGTAACGTACTGCATATAAATATACAAATTCCTCATGAAATTTACATATATGCTTTACCCTTGCAGGTTTCAATTCATATCAATATTTGAATGTAAGTAAAGCTTCTTTTTATATATATATATATATTTATTTATTTCAAAAGAGAAGGAAATAAAATTGCATACCAGTAAAAACTGTTCTTATATGCTGAATTATTGGTGATAATAAATCCATTGACCTTCCAGATAGAAGATTTTAAAGAACGGTTAATATTTATTTCTGAACTGCCTCAGGGTCTATTGATGTATACCATAAGTGCAGATGTGCACAACCAACATTCCTTGGTAATCAATTCAACTAAACATCCAACAGATCATGGTTTTTAAGTTTTCCACTGGTGTTAGATAAAGTATACTGCACGCTGGCATATGTAACATACTTTCTTTCTGTGTATCAGAGAACTTAAGATCATCATCTGCTAAATGGCTTCAAAATATGCTCACCACATTTTCAAATCTACCACAACAAGCATAGTGGGACATTTAGATAAGACTTTATATAATTTCTAAAGTACTAGTTATGACATAAATAAAATGTCAAATTTATTACATACCCATCAAAAGCAATAGGATTTTTCATGTCTTACCCTCTCTGATAATTAATAGATGATCATTGTACATAGTAGATTAACTAATTTCCTATATACACACGAGTAAAATAGTTCATAAATTTAGAAAAGAAACAAAAGAGAGGGTTCAAGACATTTGGGAGTTTTGGGATTTTAAAATATCAGTTTGTTTCATTTCACTCAGAAGTTTGATACTTATTAAAAGACATTTTGCAAGAATTTGAAGCCCCATGTTGGACATGAAATCGGAGTAGAGCATGTCCATGAATACCAGATTTAGAGGCTTACAAGTTTATTATAAATGAAATATTACATATAAATCAAATGTGGCCAAAAGTGTCAAAATTAACCAGAATCTGAGAGAAATATCCTATCACTGATGTATATATTGATATTATAAAATCACTGATTAAGAAGGATGCAAACAGGTATAAAATACCCCTTAGTGTATTCATGTTCATACATCTTTTTGGAACAAAGCTGAAAACTATATCATATATAATCCAATATTATATTTAAAAAAAAAAAAAAACTATATCACATGATCCAATATTATGTTAGTTGTATGTTCATGTAACTGCTCTTCTTAGGTGGGGGGCATTCAAAAAAAGCCTTGCATGCATGATGGTCCAATATCATACTTCCCTCATTCATTGGCATGGGTTCATCCAATCAAAATTAAGGTTTAAAGATTAGAGGACTACATGCCAAATTCTGTTAAAATTTTAAAAGTTATGCATATCCATCTCATACACCCAAACTAAATAAAATAGATCATTCACGTATATTTTTGCAGGTAGTCCTTTTAGGATTTTAAATCTGGCATTCAATTGGTTGAATCCATATTAGAACCAATAAAAATACTACCATTAGGCATGAAAGGGGACCGTTTTATATAAACAATGACTGAATGATGCAGCGGGTAGATGATGTGTATATTGCATGTATTCCTTGTTTGGATTAATACAAACATTTCCCGATTTTTAATTTGGCATTCAACTGATTCATCCCAATGCTAATAATGGAATAAATGTCAGTTACTGCAGGAAAAAAAAGATAGATCATTTAGTATTGGAAAAGATTTGTATGGAATTATTATAAAACTAAAAACACATAGGATAAATTAATTTGATGTGGATTTACCCCCCCCCCCCCCCCCCGCAAAAAAAATTTATATCTTCTGAGAAGTTGAGAACATGATAAAACTATGGAAAAAACCTCTATGATTAATTTCCCATGTCTTGTAACTTTTAAATTTTTCTTTACTGCAGTAATGGAGGGTATTAAGTTGGAATCATGTTCATGCAGTCCTTTCCCACTCCAACAGCAGTGTGTATAGTCAAATCCAAGTTAAGATGAATCCCGACAAGGATGAAGTACAGAAAACTCTGTAACATATATCCCATTATTAAACCATGCAATCTTAAAATGTTGAAGATAACATTTTAAAAAGATATTTATTCTCTGGAATTGGCATAGGGTACATGGCACGTAGGTTTCACCCCATTACCTATACTCTGCAAAAAAGCCAGCCCAGAATTGTTTGAAACATACTTCTTTCCTTTACTATCAGGAGCATCTATGAATGAAGCTGTGCAGAGAATTTGATCTTACAAAAAACAAACTCTTATTTAAACAACGCTTGTGCATCACTGGGTTTCAACAGTAATCTTAATCTCATAAGGGCCTCTTTATAAAAGGTGCAATTATGCAAACTCCTGACCTACATAACTGTCAGTGAAAGGAAATTCACATGGCCAATGACTATATTCAGTCACAAGGCCAGTGACTGCAAATATATGTGCATGGGAATCCCTTCCATGGCCCCTGGAGATTACATTGAATTCAAGCCAAGAAATTCAAAAGAAATGTTTTCATCTCTAGATAAATATTTTGCTGCACTCATATAGAACAAAAATTTTAATGTACGCAACAAGCAATTAACTCAGCATAGCTTTTTCAGGTTATGATCAGTCAAGCGATCAATGCAGATATCGCTCCTACTCCATTCACGTAAAACTACATAAGTTGTTTTTTCCTGTCCAATATGTGCACTTCAACCACACATGTACATGAATATTTCCACACGAGAGGAGATGTAAATTTAATCAATTCTGTCAATGGAGTTTTCACTCTATTCGTTTGATATGTTTTTTGTTTTCTAAAGAAAAATATTGTAACTGATCAACATAAGATACCAACAGGCAATAAATGTTCTTTATAACATTCCATTTTAAAAGGTAATTTAAATGGCTATCAAAATAGACTAATGATCTTAATTTGCCAATTTACACATTGCCATCCTATCGTAAATATGTGAGATGTGCATGAACATGCAACCCCACCATACACACAGAACAAAAGTCATTGATTCTCAAAATCAGAATTCTTTATAGCCTTGCATGTAGATCATTTTATTACTTAATACTCCACAGTTAATGTAACTCAATACAGTATAAGTTCTAAATGACAGCTAGTCTAAAGCCCCAATTCAAACACCTTGTTGCATGTCAAATTACAGTAAGATAATAGATTTTCTAGTTTTTATTTAATCAATGTTCAGAGGCTACTGTGTGAAGATGTCTTATTGATTTTTCCCCCATTTTATACTGCACACTTGAGCCACAGTGGAACAGCACTAAGTATTGTGTTTTTCATCTACATTTTCTTTCTCTGCCATTTTTTTAAATGGTTGAAAAACTGTGATTTTCAAGAAAAATAAGAAATTAAAATTTTTCACACATTTTTTTGGGAGAAAAGTGAAGTTGTCAACATCCATGGGTAAAAGGTTATGAACCAGTTCATAGCAATTTTCTTAAATTGATTTTAAAAAATCTTTATCCAGTTGAATGATAAATTTCCTGTTAGTGCCCCCTGTACATTGCAGCACTATAGTAGGTGTATATATGCAAGATAAGAGGTGACCTAAATAGCTTATAGTGCACTGCATTTACACACACACACCTGACTTTAAATTCTTAATAATAATAAAAAAAAATCTATATTTAACTTCCATTGCCAATACATTACATTCTCTATTTAATCTTATTAATATAGCCAAGATTTTTCTCTCATAAGTCTTGTAATAACTAGAAAGTTAAATGCCTTTACAAATGGCATACATACATGTTTTTAACCCTTCACTTTTAAACCTATTTTTTTCAACTACCTGTGAAAGTGACTAGTAAAATTTGTCCACATCCTTCTGTCCAAATAAACCATCAAGGACAGTGGTGTCCAATTCTTCTTAGCCCTGCTGGTCATTCTGGTATGAGGTGACCACTCTTTTTCCCTATCTCCCTCACTGCTCTGTCATACTGAATGGCTTATCTCTTAGGCAGGCCCCCTTCCTCTTTGATTGATCTGCTTATTTCATCAATGAAAGGCGATTGCATATGAATTGCACTGAAGCATGTTGTGGGGTCGGTTTCTGTGTCACTTGCATACAGGTTGTCAATAACTCCCCCGTTTGTTCTGAACCACTGTGATGTGTAAACACTCTGGCCTCTGTTACATAGTTCTGTAAAAAGGCCTGTCCAGTTCTCTATTAATTCACTGTTCACAGCACATGCCACTTACACATATCTACTATTAAAGTGAACAGTTGAAGTTTTTAAGAGGGATGACGTAGCAAGCACTGTTAATAGTAAAGTGATACACCTGGGTGCACATTCACTAAAAACAAACTCCTATCCCAGTCATTGAATCTGATTTCCTACAACTTCCTCGGAATATCTCTCAATTCTTTTTTTTTTTTTTTACCTATGCACTTAGGCTGTGACACATACTTGTCATCAGTCAGTCTAAAAATATCCATACCATAACACCATTTCCAGTTAGAAGGACATGTTTCCTACGGACTGAATGAAGCCAAATGCCAATTTTTCCCCCTCTCTTCCCTTTTTTTGAGTGGACGCAAGAGAGATTGTAAATAGTTAAAAATCAATCCTGGCCTTTGGAGCTGCCCGTGTGCTGTACATTGCGTTGCTCTTTCATAATGTGGTCATTTAAATCCTTCCTACCTGCAAGACAAGAATGGAATTTTAACAAAAGAACACACCTTATCGCTGTGTTTACCTGGCAGTGCACAGAGCTATAAATCCATACCTATCTATGTGAATTACATTAAACTGCAAATGAATTATGTGCATACAGGTAGAGTAGGAACGAGGCCGGGCAGGCTAATTTGGTAGTCTAATTAATATACTTCTCTCTCTCAGATCTAGAAGTTAAAATCGCCATACAACTCATGTTTAAGTACAATGGTTATTAGTTGATATGGTATAATATTAGAAAAACCAAAAATACTTTAACTAACCAATAATTAGTAAATGCTTAAGAGCATATGTACTACCATGGGAGAATAATACGATAATGAGAAAATTGTTCCCACTTTAAAGATGTGGTGGAAAAAAAAATAGAAAATATACCTGTTCTCCCCACAGGCAAATATGATGCCCATTATTTTTTTGAACTACATTGAAGGAATAAGAATGTATATTTTGAGAGAGAATTTAATGGAGAAATGAAGAAAAGAGAATCTTAATCTATTTTTTTAAAAAATGCAAAGATGTACAAACATGATAACATTTGTTGAGTTACTGCATTTTAAACAGGAAGAAACTGTTATTGTTTATTCTAAATGAAAACTGATTAAAAATCTGGGTGCCAGATTATTTCCAGCATATGGGTTAAACTCTATTTGCCAGGAAAACAGCTTACACCTCAAAACATTTAAACTACACAGATGGAAGGTATCTTTAGAAATTAATTATCTAGCACATAAAACTGACTCATTTTGAGATCTGTGCAGCAAACTAACCAACAAAAGAAAGCATTTTTCAGACCATTAAGAAACAGCATCAAAGCAAGAGTAATTTCCCTTAAAAGCATGCAAATATATCAAGACTATCCACTCTAAAATGGTTTCTTTCTCCAAGTAAACACATTGATCACCCAGGTTTATTATAACTTTTATGATTATACCTATATACATTCAATACAATTCTTATAATCCAACACTTGCATGCACTTATCTTTCATATAAGGTAAATTTATACCACATACTGTACGTACAGAAATGCAGAATAAATCTTGTACAAACCCTAGCCAAATACATCAGCACATATAGCCTCCAAATTCCTTCACAAATGTTTCCGAGAAATTTCCAAAGAAAAAATCCATATGCTACAATAAAAACAATCTCTAGTATAATCAAATTCCACTTGCATCTCCTGCTTGCAGTGTACACAATTTTCTGGAGAGTAGAGAAAAAAATCTATACTTTGATATGAAGAGGTTAACAGTTTAACACTTTTTATGTTCCAACTCAGCATGTATTTCTCAGCTTAAAAACTGCATCCAACACAGGCATATGCAACACACATCAATAGATGTAATACATATGCAAGCAGAGTAGGGTTGTTGAACTCCAAGGCCATAACCCAAATGGATCTAGCTTCATTCTTGTCTTTTGATATGTAACTTTATTTTTAGTTCAGTTTCCATACTGTTCTCATTAACAAATTTAAGCCTCTTCATCCCTCCTTCCTTAGTGCAATCCAAAATGCAATGGAATTTATAAATTCCATAATTTTTTTTTTTTTATAATTAACACTTATAGGCCAATTTCAAATAATTTCTGTCATTTTAATAAAAGTTCTTTTTTTTTGTATTTAAACAATTATACATACACTCAATAGCACAATTTAAAGAAAATAAAATCCAATTTCAACTATATCAAGTAAATAAAAAAATTAAGTACATGTACCAAAATGTGATGGTGATTTTTTTTTTTTAGTTCAATGAGAACAAATTTGTTTTGTTTTTGTAAACATAAATCCAATGCCATGACCTAACCTGATAAAAAAATATGATACTTGTCATAAAACCCTGGAACATATAGAAAATCTCTGCACAATCTCTGTTATTAAAAATCACAGTTCACAGTAACCTGGTATATATTCACACATAGTACTGTAACACTGAGGGTCAGTGGCCAAGACAACCATTAGTAATCATTGGTACTTGAGACTATATTTATCATGTTGATGCTTCCAGTTTCTTTTTATCACCATACAATTAATCAATAACTATAGCATTGAAATCACTCATATGATTTTTTTCTTGAAGAAAAAACCCCCACTTATTACATGGAGGACAAGATATTATACATGTTGCACAATATGTGGCAAAATCTGTGTTACAAGTACCTCATGACTCCCAGAAAAAAGATTGTTAAAATGACATACGTCACAAGGTAGTTTGAACTTAACTGTCTTTTTCCCTGGAGTTGAAGAGTTCCAATATCTAATGGAACTGCGTGCTACATTTAAATGCATAATTATATATATATGCTGTAGTACACTTCTTCTAAAACAAGTTTGGATAAAAAACATCTAGAATATATGTTTAGTAATTTTTGTACATTTTTCTTTGAAATATACAAGAATTTCATCAATTGATATCTTTTCAAAACCCCTGGTAATGCATGCTAATTTTTTGTCTACGAACATCTGATGGCACTATAATCTTAAATTAAGAATATCTTGAAAAATTATGAGCAGGTAAGGTAAGTTGTGTAATTCTTATATTTACAGTTTAATTTTAAAAAAAAATTCTTTCATTAAAACTAAATGACTAAAAGACATAATACATGTACTGGTAATGTTAGATTTTTTTTTAACATCTCTAGGCAAACATACATGTTCATGATGTCACAAGACTTCATGTCACACAATTTGAATGAATTAAGCCATATTTTACCTTGAGATTCAAAGGTGTACATCAGAGTTGATGTAAGTAAAATGCAAGTAAAACTAGTGCTTATTCCTACTCTCTTATGGTCCCCCATTCCTGTCAACTTTATAAATTACTGTAGAAGCATAAATTTTCGTGGTGATAAAATTTCGTTGATTTGTCATCAAGAATGGTTTTGTGGGCATTAAATTTCATTGTTTCGAAAGTAACCCTATACAAGACATAGTCAAATAAAAATTTCGTGTGGGATTTAATTTCGTTGATAATTGTTAACAACGAAATAAATGAAATTTAATCCCCAACGAATATTTCTGCTTTTACAGTAATTAAATTTAGGCAAAACTTTTATAGATCTGCACTTTATTTTTCAAAGATTTTATCGAAAAAAATGCAAATAGAGATTGAGTGCCATATTAGTATTAGCCAATCAGATTTCAGTGCATGTATATTCACCTTTGATAGTACAATAAAGTAGGAACAAATATATATTTTATATAATACTCTAAATTTCATCCTGATTTATTCAAAATTAAGAAAGGTTTAGCCATTTAAAGTTTCAACCAATCATGTATTCAAGAAGTCTCATTAAATATTGTATTAAACTTTAAGTTTACAACTTTAGGTACAGACCCTGTTGAATACCGTTCGGTATCCACACGAGAATCTTCCACAATTTCAACCTCAAGGTGTTGGTCTCCAGTTTTTCTTTGTTTGGTGTTAAATATTGTATTGTAAAAACTCATAAGATATATATTTATTTCAAATTTTGCAGTATTTTGTCAATTAAAAAAGGGATGTGATTGCGATTTTTGTGTCAGCCAATTAGAACTTAACCATGCATGTTCTTTTATGCTAATTTAATCATATCATTTTGTGTAAATTACTAGTATATCTTTATATATGGAGTTTCCAAGCATTTCATGAACAAAATATGACAGCTAAAAATATTTTGATTACACAAGATCATTTCACTCATAGCACATGCACACACACGTGTGCAGAAAATGACAAATTTTGGCCATTTTGAAAATTTTATGTGGAAATTATGCACAACTAGAATTACTTAGTCGCCTGCTTGGCGCAGTGGTTAGAGCGTAAGCTCTAGATAGAGTCACATTGTAAGGAGTAGATCCTTACATCGCAGGTTCGAATCCCTCTGCAGGATGTGGAGACCAGTCCGCTGAATGAGACCGTATAATCGAGCTCCTGTATTGCAGTAGGTGCTGGTACGAAAAAGATCACTCATTGCTCAAAAGCCCTGAGTGCTGAGTATAGGTCTAAATTTGCAGCCCTTCCTCAGCAAGTGTATGGGTGAGTGAAAATGATATTGAGTGTAAAATATGAGTGAAAAATTCTCGAGAGGGATGTTAAACAACAAACAAGAACTGCTAATCATCATTCCTGTGAAGTTTCATCAAGATTGCCCAAGCCATCTGCAGAAAAGATTGTAGGTGGAGCAATAACAATATGTTCCCCAACTTCATTCAAGATTAACATATACAGTCAAACTTCATTAACTTGAACTCGATGGGACCAAGCAAAAACTTCGAGATATCAGAGAATTCTAGATACTGTACATTCCTTATTTTACGCGAGTACTTAATATTGCGAAATGGCCCAAGGGCGTCAAATCGTGAGAACAATAATTCGCGAATGGATGATTTATCTAGAGATTTTACATACATTAAAGCACCATAAAAATAAAAGCGAGAAATTTTTATTTTGCCAGTGGTGCTTCTCACGTAATTACGCAATAATTTATTCCTCGCGTATATTTAGGAATCTACAGTATTGAGGGTAAATTACTTAAAGAATGTGTTGTTGGAATTTCCAAATCACTTTGACATATCCATGGTTTTCGAGATATTGCTGTTCAAGCGTAACATTTGGGGAACTTAAACAGAGTGCAGTGCCTTGCCTGCCTGACTGTTGATTCATAAAACAAGAGGCCCATTGGCTACAACACTCATCTGAGTCACTTATGGCCCTGCTGTTCTTCATAAGCAAATATCTTTTCTATATATTCCTGCTTAAAACTTTGACCTCTTGCTGATTATCACTTAGCTGTTCTTGGGAAGAAGATTTTTAAAGATTTTTTCCTATATATTCCAACATAAAACTTTGATTGCCTGTTGTGGCTCCACCCTACCCATGGGGGATGGGATTTGAACAAATTTAAGTCTACACTATGTAATGATGCTTTCTTTCTTTTCTGGCTCAGTGGTTCTAGAAAGATCCCATTAAATTTTCAATAATTCC